GGGGAGAGACACTACATCCAGAGCATAGCAACTACACAGAGGAGGAACGCTCGCTCTGCTACTAATTAATCAAGGCTCCACTGCGCAGTATCCTAAGATGATACTGCAAGGTTGAGAGCAGAAACCTTGGAACGGGACAATACTAATAACAAAGGTAACACAACGACAAGCTCAGGGTTGGTTAGTTACTAATATATTTAAGTCTTATTGTGGAACAAGTATTACTGCATTTACTTTGTGTCTGTTGAACTCATCCAGTTCCCCCATAGAATCTAGGGATTAGACACTGTCATGTTCTGCCATTCATTCTAGGTATTGAGGCACAACAATATATTCATAGACACCAATGTTCAGGGCCAGGGCAGAACCTAGGCAGTCCAGTCTCCAGAGTCTATGCCCTGGACTTCTGTGCTGACTGAAAGTTGAGAAAGAGCCAGCAGGTGATGTGGCCTTCGGCCTCGTTTGATAGCCTAGACTTCAGAAAATGTCTTTTGGTGATGTAAATTTGAGGTCTTTAGCATTTGGTGGAATGACTGAATAAGTGGTCCAGGAAAGGCAGCTGCCTAGTACCTGTAGTGTACTTATATATCCTGCACCCCTGAATAGACTTCAATAGAAACTGTCTCACTCTATTTGGATTGCTATAACAAAATACTGAAGACTTTTATTCTCACAGTTCTAGAGGCAGTGAGGTCCAAGACGAAGGTACTGGTAGACCTGGTGTCCAGTGAGGGCTCTCTTTCTTGTAGCCGGTCATCTTCTCGATGAGTCAGTAGTCTTCACATGTGGAAAGCAGAGAGAAGAGATGAGCCTTCTTAGATCTCTTCCTATGAGGGCACTAATCCTTTTCCTGAAGGTTCTGTTCTCTTGTAAGTACTTCGAAAGTCCTCACCAACTAATCCCATTCCCCTGGGAGTTAGGATTTCAATTTATCAATTGGTGGAGACAAAGGTCTGTAACATTCCACCCTTACTTCCCCCATTTCAATCAGTGATTTCAATCACCTCTGTAGCCCTATGTCGCACCTAATATCTTTTTTTGGTTGGGGGGGGATTTCGAGACAGGGTTTCTCTGCGGCTTTGGAGGCTGTCCAGGAACTCACTCTGTAGACCATGCTGGCCTCGAACTCACAGAGATCTGCCTGCCTCTGCCTCCCAAGTGCTGGGATTAAAAGCGTGTGCCACCACTGCCTGGCACATCTAATATCCATTTAATTAGGTGTATGGTTAAGATTTTCGAAGTGACTAATTCTCAAGCAAAATTCTTCTCCAGCTGCGAACATGGGAAGTCAAATAAATTGGTGCTTCTAAAGCAGTGATTGAATGGACTGCCAATGGTTGTGAAGGGGACAACCATGGATATGCTTTAAAAGCTGATTAGTCCAGACCTGCCCAGGCAAATCCTATGAAATTTCAATGCTCAAGACCTGCCCTCTCAGCCTTCTGGAGTAGCAAAAGGCTCTTCTCAAAAGTGCTGTCCCATGGGTGTTGACAGAGGCTTCTGCTCTGTAGAAACTGAGTGTGGCCCTAATGACCACATTTTAGTCATTTTGGGTGGGGGTTGGGAGAGGGTAGGAGTTGTCTCCTGAAGGGACCATGCCCTCCTCATGTCAAAGAACCAATCAAAAGTTAGCTGGCGGAACTGTGTTACGGATCTGGATCTGGGTGTGCTTTACTACCCGAGTGCACAACAGTGACATGCAGAACATAGCAACCGCCCTGGAAGGGCCTATGGGCCATAACAACCAGCTGACCAATCAGCCCAGAGCAGGTCATCTAAGCCTGGAAGTGCAGGCACCAATCCTGAGACTGTTGGGTACCCCCTAAACACCCCCCTTACCCTGCCCTATAGGATCCCTGCCTCATGGTCTCTTGGGGTCTTTTCTCCAGCCATCTGCTTTGGTGGGTGGATGAAAGGCCTGTGCTAATGGGGTTAGCTCGTTAAACGACTACAATAAAAGACTCTTTGCTTTTGCATCAAAATGGGCCTCTTGGTGATTTGGAGGTTCAGAATTTGGGCTCAACACTTCTGTTGCCTTTAAGAGAAGCACATCCTCAGCCTTCCGGTGGGTGTTCCCTTGCCTTTTGCTGTTCCCCTTGGTGCCTGCCTGCTGTCCTGCCAGGTAATCACACCTCTCTTCCTGACTTCCGCTGAGATGCAAATGCTTCACATTTATGCTAATCTTTTCAGTAAATGGCTAGTCTGACTCCTGCTAATGTTCCTTCTCAGCAGGCTTTACCATTGTGTGTGTGTGTGTGTGTGTGTGTGTGTGTGTGTGTGTGTGTGTTATACACAGGCTGAGACTCTTCCAATCTTATCTCCTGGTTCCTCTGTCTTAACAATTCTGTACACAGGTCATTTGTATCCCCCTGCATCTTACTGTAGGTACTGAGAAGGAACCAACCTACCCTACTCTTAGCCATCTGCTGAGCTAAATGTCTGGCTGCTTCCTTTGCAATTTCTACCTTCCATCAAATGCCAGAATGTGAACAAAATTCAGGCAGGCTCTTTGACACTTTGTGACAGGGATGTCCTTCCTTTCATTGTCCAGTAACATAACATCATTCCTTAAAGACATCAGAATAGGGACAAGGCTTCTGGAGGTTACACTTCATATGTAAACTATAGCAAACTGGAGACAAATTAAGATGCTCACAGAATAGTCTGAATGAAAAAGAATAAGAACCTAAACCTCAAAGAGGACAGAAGAGGGAGGTGGCAGATCAGAGATGCCTTCGGGAGTTGCAGAAGCCTGGTTACTGATAGGTTGTCTTAGTTAGGGTTTCTTTATTTAATTGGGATGGCTTACTTACAACTCAGAGGTTCAGTCCATTATCTTCATGGCGGGGAGCATGGTGGTGTGCAGATAGACATGGTGCTGGAGAAGTAGCTGATGGTCCTACATCTTGAAGGCCAGAGGAGGTCAACTTAGATGCTGGTATCCTGGACACAGGAAACCTCAAAGCCCTCCGCCACAGTGACACACTTCCTCCAGCAAAGCCATACTTTGTAATAGTGCCTCTTCCTATGAGATTATGGGGGCCAATTACATTCAAACTACCACAGGGTGCATGTTAGAGTTATGTGTTAGAGTTTCAGATTGTGTAAAAAGGTTTGTCATCCAAACACACTAAGCAAGAATGGATTATAATCACTCTATCTGGAAATACAAGCACAGAGGTGCCGCCATGAAACAGGCATTCCATAAAGGTTGTTTGGGAACTGAAGTCATTCTACTGAGAAGGCGCCTACCTCCACTTAGCAGCATCTGACCATTGGTCTTGTCTTCTATTGCTCTATCTAGATTGCTACTTGGGATTCTTCTTCTCACAGTTTGCAGTCTTATGACATACGTGACTTCACATCTCTAGCCCATGTTTCCTGTGTGTGTCTTCCACTTCTTATACTTTCACACTGGAAAGGGAAGTCTCAAACATTTAGCATGTAGAGCCATTGTCTCTGGGAGATAACATTCTCAGTGGTTTCACTGTAAGCTAGCCAGCTCAGTCAGTTACAGACAGAGAGACTTGTCTGCCTGATACATGCAACGAATGATGGTCAGCAAAAATGTTTGCAGGGAGGCTATGGGCCTGGCAGATATTTCTGAACTTAAGCCTACCTGGAGATTGTCTGGGAAAACTACAATCTTGTGAGGTTAATATTGACTGTCAGTTTAAGAGGATCAAGAATCACATAGGAGGCAGCCTTGGGGTACACCCTTAGGGGATTATCTAGATTAAGCTAATTAAGGTGAGAAGACTGAACCCTAAAAAGTACAGCACCATTGCTTGGCCTTACAACCAATCCTAAAGGAGACAGGAACATTTCTTTGGGTCCAAATCTGCACATAAAGAGAGAAAGGTGGGGGGGGGGGACGTTGAGTGGGAGCATCCACCACTCACTGCTTCCCAGTCGCAGGAACAATGTGACCAGCTGCTTCCAGTGCCTGCCATCATGACTTCCCCATTATGCTGTGCTGTGAGCCTTCCTTTGTTAATTTGGTTTTGTCAGAGTGTTTTGGTTTTGGGTTTTTTTTTAATAGCCTCAGAAATAATTAAGATAAAGCCTTTATAGTCTGGGCTGCTCTAAGAGAGGTGTTTATTATAGGAAATGAGCAGCCAAGGATGAGATGCTAAGCGGAGGGGTTTAAGGCACATGAAGTGGGTGGCATAGGAGCACACATTCTGAAGAAACTGGGAATCGCATGCATCCCTGGAATTGAAGGGACGGCCGCTGTGGGGAAGACAATGCACAGAAGAGCATCAGAATGGCCATGGGTCACTAGAGGAACGGAGGAGTGAGGATGAAATTGGACAGGTTCCTCAACTTTTTCCACAGAGGGCCAGAGAATTCCTCTATACTCGCACAGCAATGCTTCATGCCTTCTCTAAGGCACCGAAACACCAGGACCCTGTCTGGTAGTGTCCACTGAACCCCCATAGAGCCGACTGAGGCAAGCACTGCCTCCAAGTTCATGCACATGTCCCCTGTCGAATGTCCCACGATTATAACCTGACACACAGATGGTGTTCTAGACTACTGTCTCAAGAGATTATGTATGCAACGAATCCTAAACTGAAAACAACACAAGTTTACAAATGAGTTTGGACTCTTTTTTTCTCTGGCCTTTTCCCAGCTGTTCCCTCTCCTAAGAGGATATAATTAGCAGTAAAGCCAGTAAAACTGGATTCCCCACCCCCAGTTAATCCATAAGCTGTTTCACAGCATATTGTGTGACTATTAGCAGTCCTTAAGCAATGCCCACTCACAGTTTGGGAGGCACCTTCGTTTCCTCACCCCAGTCCAAGAATAATGTCTCTGTTTTAAAAGCAGACACAATCAGTACAAATCATCCATTTTCATTAGATCACCAAAGTACCCCTTCTCAGACACTTGTTGAAGCGGGAGCTGTGCTGGCAAGTTTTATGTCACCTTGACACAAGCCAGGGTCATCTGAAATGGGGGAACCCCAGCTGAGAAGCCTCCATAATGTCCATAAGATCCAGCTGTAGGACATTTTCTAAACTAGTGATTGATGGGAGTGGACCCAGCCCATTGTGGGTGGTGCTACCTCTGGGCTGGTGACCCTAGGTTCACTAAGAAAGCAGGTAGAGCAAGCCATAAAGAGCAAGCCAGCAGCATCCTTTCATGACC